TGAACAATAGGAATCAAAGGACATAAGTAAGAGTGGTTATGCAAATTAGAAGTGGGGAATCAAGTATAAACTTAAGGGTTTGTTACTTGCAAATATGACACTATAAAGAATCTAAAGTATAAAAATGATCATATTAGATTGGATAGAGCATAAAGTTTGTGAAGGGAAAGGCTTTAATAAGCTAAGAGCTAGAGTCCCTTTAATGTACTTAAATAAATTAGTCTCCAGGAAGCCGAGTACAAATGGTTTATAGGCATATATAGAATCAAAGTTATACAATAAAAGTGTGGTTTTGAAGTTTGTTATAATGCAAAATTATCAAGATTAGAAAAGTAAATTTCACATATTCAAAATGATGATTTTGAATGGAAGTTAGTATTTGATGACTTACATACTTATATGTAAAACTATGTTACACTAGCTAAATGACCTATTAAGTAAGATTGGCAAGTTAAAGTAATGTTCTCTGAAAAAGTTGACTCCATAAGAGAAGGCTCATAAAACCAAATATGGAGGAGTCCATGCATAATTATAAATTAATTATCAAGTTCATCAAATGAGATAATTTAGAAGTTAGGAGGAATAAAGTTCTTAAGTTGTAACTCATAGTATGCATATAAAAGAAAAGCTAATTAATGGTATAAGCAACTAAAGAGAACGATTTGAGAGACAATTCATAAAGGTTTAAATATAGAAGGAAAATGTTTATGAATAAGAGTGCAACCTTTTTTTTAATCGGTTAAAGGTTTTAGAATACTTGAGGTTAAATGTCTTTGAAATTGAATAGTACTAAGCTGAATAACCTCTCGAGAAGTCCAAATTCAGAAATTTACATTTGGTATCAAAGAAGTCTTAAGTCCGATTCTATTTATTGCTAAGGGAATCATACCACATATTAAGATTGACATCTGGTAAGTCTAATTTGTTTCCAACTAGGCTTAATTTGAGGTGTAAGATGTCAAAAAAGAAGGGATCTTGGGAAAGTTGCAACTCTCAACTTTTGTTCACAAGGGTGTGAATTTGTAGAAAGTGGGGTGGATTATAAATAACCAAAAAGAATGACTTTAAAGACAATCCATAGAAGTTTAAATATAAAAGAAAAGAGCCCGTAAACCTTCAATATCCTTTTTTTGATCCCCACCAAATCCTCTCCAATCAATAACACCAACACCACTACTAGATTAGAGCTTGAAGACTTATCTACTAAGTTTTAATGACATTTGGGACTTTCACACCACATATCCATACAATAGTTATTAAGTAAGAAAACCATTTTTCTTCCTTTTCATAATAAAAAATTTCAAAACAATATTTTGAAATATTATGACCCAATGCAAGCTTTATGGGTACTCTCACTAACTTTACCACTAATGTGCCTTAGTCATATGGCTAAGGTTTCATTAAGCCACATAAAGTATCTAAGTAGGTAATACCACCCACACTTGGATTGGAAGCCTAATCTCCCAAGAGAGATAAAATTAATTCTTGAATAGTTCATTTTATTTGTCCATCTATGTTCACTTTAGCCTTAGACTCCTAAGTATTTATATTATCACCCACTAGATGTGTAAAACTTTTTTTTGTCATATTGATTCTTTTAAAATTTTTCCCCCTACTATTCTATAGAAATTTAAGGTTTGGGAAATGATCATTTAAAGGTTGAATATGTTTAGCCCCAAATATGCCTATCCCCAAATATGTCTAACACTTCAAATACTTGGTTTTCAGTGGGTTTTGACATTATTCCACTTTGAGATTTTGGGTTCTAGAATTTTGGTTTCAACACTCCTAGGTATTAGTCATTTTTATGTCCCTTTTTAGAGATTTGTTATCAATTGTTTCATACTCATTGTTTAATCACTTCATGCTCATTGTTTAATTGTTTTATGCTTGTCCCTTAAACCCTTCTTTAGAAATTTCACTTCTACTCTTTACTTTTTGTGTTAAAGCTTTTGGCCTAAATGTGTTATGCTTGATGGTCTTCCATCTTGGTGCACCTTTGGCTTAACTCTAAAACTAGTCAAAGAAAACTCAAGTATGTAATCATTAAAGAAAAGTTTATCTTTTATCCCCACAAATGTATTATGAGTATTATGAATGCTTATCCAACTTTTTATCAACTTCTCTTCTAAAATTCTTAATATAATTATATATTAATCAATTATATTAATAAATAATACTAAATAAGAATAAAATAGTAAACTAAACATTGCTATATATAATATGCGGAAAAGGATTTTATTTATATTATCATAATTTATTAATATAAGTGCATAGAATATGGAAATAGGTTTACACTCCTGCTTATATATAGAAATGGATAGACCAAATTCAGTCCTAAATAGATAGTCTATATGCTATACTACTATAATTAGTATATTATATAGACATTGATACATATATATATTTATAGATCCTCCCATCAAAAAGTTAAAAAGGTAACGAAGTTAGATGAAATATTTAGAGCTTCTTTTGAGTGATTATACACTACTACAAGAACTTAAAACTCTTACAAAACCATTAATATAATTACTAACAATCATGACAGAAACAAAATCCAAAGCCATGGTATACAACTAAGGAATTTTGGTGAAATAATTGCAACTTTGTGTGCAGTATCTAAATGCTCAAATTAACCTTAAAACTATAACTATGAACCAAAGCAAAGTATGTCGAGGGCAACTATAATCCACAAGACATTGTTGTAACAAATGATATTAAAATAGCATATTGACCATCTTTTGAAACCACCATTAACTTTGACCCATGACCATCAATAAAATATATCCTTGCATTTTCCTTTTGATTAGTTTTCAAGACATGTGTTAACTTGAATTTACAACCTTTGTCTTCATATAACACCAACATGGGAAGTAAAATTCACTCTATTCATCCTATACATTATGGCTATTAACTTTTCATATTCTTTTCTCCATTGTTAAACTTGGGTCTTTCTTTATCCTCTCTTTAAATGAAAAAAGTTTAATTCTATTAATTCATTGTACTTGTCTTCATCTATGTGTGACTTCACTCCATTATCAAATTTATTTACCCTCATTGTATCAAGGCTAAATATTTCATTCAAATTTGTTACACTCATTTTCACTCCACAATCTATACATTTGTCATTGCTTCATTACTATATCTACTCATCCTCATAGGTAAGACTCCTATTTATCCCCTCTACTCCCTCTTAAAATAAAAAGTTTGAAGCATTGGGGCAAAGAAGAAAAAGTGAAAAAAATTGAAGAAACATTATGGAAGAAGAAAAAATGAATAAAGAAGTATTGAAAGAAGCATTTTCAATAGTTGTCAAAATAAAAATGGATAAAAAAAAAAAGGAAATATGCTTAAAACTTGGATAAGAAAGGACCTCCTATTATAAGAGACTCCATCCAAGAAAAAAGGCTAAAGACCAAGAGATATATTATTATAAAATACTTTAGCCAAGCCTAGATAAGTAAACTACTCTATATATTCAACCTTTTTAGTATGAAACTCAATATTTAAGATGGGAAAATCAATAAAAAAGTTCATACTCTTAAGGAAATAGAAAATTCATTAGTAATAATAGTAACGTAAAGACTCTTACATTAGAGGAAATACACTTAACCCAAAATTTTAGCAAAATTAATTTAACCTTTGGAATAGAGGAATACTTAATATCAGAAATAATCAAAAACTCTACTAACAAAGCAAAAACAAAATTCTCAACTTCATACATACGCAATATCCAAATATGACAAAGATAGAAAACACTCAATTTAACACTATACTGAGAATAAAGCTCATAAGAGTAAAAAATGACCAAATGATCAACATATTAAGAGAAGGAAATATTATAAATATGGAAAAGGCATTGCCAAGAAATAAGAAAATGTTGTAAGAGAGTAAAAGGCAAATAGAAAGGATCATGTGGCAAATTAAGGATTAACACTTACTCAATAAAATCTCCAATTTGTCTTCATAATTATCTCCAAAGCAATCAAATTCTTTATTAGTAGAAATTCACTCAAGCTCAAATATCATCTTTTTATAAACTCAATCCTCAAACACCCTTCAAAAACCAGACTACATTATTTATAACTTTTCAATTAATATCACAATCATACTCTATATTAATAGGAGATTGACAAGAAATCAAGAATAGGAGAAATCATGTAATTATATTCTAGGAAAGCTAATAATGACAATACATCAAGATTTGAGCAACATCAACAAGATCATGCTATATATCACCAAAAACTCAATATAAAGATAACATAACCACAAGAACAATATGACAACCACAACACGTCATCTGCAGCCTTGGATGGCATATTTTAGATTTGGTGAAAGGATAACATATATCTAAATTTAAAAGAGAATAAAGGAATAAAAACAAAAGTATGATACTGAATACTAAGCAAATTACTGTTAAAAAACTATGCTCTCTAAGGACAAATTGCAATGCCCTCTGGTTTGCCCTCAACCATCAAGCATAACATGAAGCTTGATAACCTAAGTTGGACACAATGTTGTGATAGGATGCTAATTTGTGGACAAGTCGGAATTGCATGTAAGTATGAGATCTTTCTCTTTTTCCTTCGCTGCAGACTAGGTGATAATGTAGTCTTGGGTGGCCAAGCAGGTGTTGCAGACTACATAGACATCACTTCAAAGGTCCTACTTCCTGATGTTGTCAATCTTTCTATCCAGGTCCAAATCACAGCGAAAAGATTCAAACATTACTGAGCTGGTTTCTTTTCCCAGTTCAGTTGCAAAAGCTCTCGTGCTTACTGAAGTCACAGGTGCCCGTGGGCAATCGGTGGTGGCTTTGCGAAACTTTTGTGGCAAACATCCAATGTGAGAGATTGGCAAGAGCTTGTTACAACACCAAGCTTGCTGTCAAGCTCAGCAACTGCATAACCTCGCTGGTAGCCGCAAAACCAACTCCAACAGGGATCACCCCTTCAAGGATTGTTTGGCGCGACTCCTCAAATATACATCAAAGTTTTTCCTCAAGTGTATCTTTTCCTCCATGCGTCGAGAATCGTGGTCCATGTCACGCTATTTGGCTGGAATGGCATTCTCCTCGCTAGAGCAATGGCATCCTCGACGTTACTGGCACGGCCAAGAACGTCGATCATGCAGTGAAAGTGCTCGATGTGAGCAGCCACCCCAAACTTGGACCACATTCCATCCAAGAATTCCCGTCCTCGATCGAGAATCCCAGCGTGACTGCACGCCGCGAAAATCTCTACAAAGGTGACACTGTCCGGATCCACGCCTTGCACTCGCATGCTCCGAAACGCTTGGAACGCAGCGATGGCGTCTCCTCGAGCGCCATGTCCTGCAATCAAAGTATTCCATGCCACAGTGTCGGGAGACGCAATGGAGCTCTCAAACACAAGCTCGGCGACCTCGACGCTCCCGCATTTACAGTAGAAGTCGAGCAGGGAAATCGCCACAGGACTCCCTTCCAGTCCCTGCCGGAGAATCTGTCCGTGGAAGAGCTTACCGAGCTTCAAATCTCCCAGGTTCCCGCAAGCTTGCAACAACGCAAGAAATGTTTGAGAGTTGGGAGCAACTTCCATGGCCGCATAGCATTCCAACGCAAGCTCGTCCTCACCAATGTAAACACATCCAAACAGGAAAGAGTTCCACGAGACTACGTCGCGATCTAAGATCTTATCAAATACCCGGCGAGCGTCCACGATCAAGCTTCCACACTTGGCATACATATCAACCAGACTGCTAGCAAGCGATGGATCTCTCTCCAGGCCAAGCTGCGAGATCCACGAGTGGATTTTCATTGCTTTCTCGAGAGATTCTACGTCTAAATCCCATCTCTTGCGTTGTTTCTTCTCGGCAATTACGCTACAAGCCTTGATAGCGGCGACGCAAGCTAAACGATCGGGTTTAAATCCTTGTTCTTGCATGCAAGAGAAGAGAAGCAAAGCTTCTTCTCCATCTTGGCTCTCGTGAGCATAGCCTGTGATGATCGATGTCCAGGAAACGATGTCGTGCTGCTCCATCGAATCAAACACCCTGCGAGAATCTTCTAAACTTTCACACTTGGCATACAAGTCCACCATCGCGTTCGCCAAGTGTAAATGTTTCCTCGCCTCCAACTTGAAGCAGCGAGAGTTTGATGCGTGAGAGTGAATCGCCATGGCTCGTTCCAAGCTCTTGATCTTCACAGCCAACGACGCATCAATCTCCTCTCGCACGGCCAGACTAGAGCAAGCTTTGACAGCCGCGAGAAAACTCGAGCAATCTGGATTGATCATAGCAGCTTCCATCTGCGAGAAGAGCTCCAGAGCCAAATCTTCCTGCCGGTTTTGAGCGTATCCCAGAACCAATACCGTCCAGGAGACAACGTCGTGGTTCTCAATCCCATCGAAAACTCGCCAAGAGTCTCTCATGCTTCCACACTTGGCGTAGGTATCCGCGAGACAAGTTGCCAAACGAGCGTACCGCGAGAGCATGCTATCCGAGCTCTTGGCAGCTCGAGCGTGGATCGCCATGGTTCTCTCGAGCAGCTTCATCCTCCCCGCGAAGAACTTCCCATTTTCGATCCCTGCTCGTTCTCTCTCGTCCAGAATCACGCAAGCCTTGAGAAGGGCCAGGAGAGTGGGGCCGCTTGGATCGCAGCCACTTCTTTCCATCTGCGAGAACAAATCCAGTGCTATCTCCGGAGCTCCATTCTGGACGTAGCCCACGATGAGCGCAGTCCAGCAAACCACGTCTCGCTGCTCCATCCCCTGGAAAATTCCCGCGGCTTCGTCCAAGCAGCCACATTTGGCGTACATGGCCACGAGACCGCTGGCGATGTAGATGTTGGCCTCTCCAAACTTCTTGGAGGCCGCATGATGGATCTCCCTGCCCCGTGCAAGATCCTTTGTCCTAGCACATACCTTGAGCGCCGCTAGCAGCGAGTGTATGGACTCTGATCGCGCGGAGCTCTGGAGAATCATTCCAGGAAAATTACCTAAATGTTATCACTTAAACATGATACCTTTAAAAATAAAAGATACTTAAACGAAGATTCTACCTTTACAAACAAGCTCTAGAGCAGTTTTGATTTTAAGGTTACATTTTTCATTCGAGATGGTTAGCTTGAAGAATTATATGCACAAAAAACCTAGGCAAAAGATGGAGTGTTTCAACCAACACACGGTCTTGAATAAGAAGTTCTAGAATACCCAACGCTAGTAAAGAACTATAGACTAGAGAAATCGATTGGGGTGGAAGGCAAGCAATGGCATTCCAAAGGAGTGATGAGGTTTTTGTGATCAAGACAGTCCATGGGTCCGATGGGCTGTTTGAAGCTCGAGTGATGGTTATGCTAGAGGTGTTTGGATGAGTCCACTTTGAGCAGATCGTACAAGAAGAGCCCAATCAGTACGGGGAGGTGTACCACCTTGTTCTTGAGCTGTGCAATTGCAGCCTTCACGACCGGATCAAGTACAAGGGGCAGCTTGATGGGGAAGAATCTGCAAAGATCGTCATAACTCTCACCAAGACGTTAAAGAGAGTTCATGATAACGAGATCATCCACTGTGATCTGAAGCCTGCGAATGTTTTGCTGAAGTACCCGTGACCTGGGAAGTTTTATGTCCTAAAGGTGTCCGACTTTGGGATGGCTTGCTGGATAAAGGATCCATGGAACGAGTGTGGGGGTGAGACGTGGGATCATATGTCCCCCGAAGCGATGCTCGATGCTCAATGGTGCTATATCACAGCCAGCAATGTGTGGGGATTAGGGATGCTGCTTTACACTTGTCTCATCTTGTCCGTTCCCAAATATAGATTTGGAAGTGGTATTTAAAAATGCACGCAAGAGAGATCGAAGTTTAAGGAATTTCCATCACAATTCTATGGATTGGGATAGCATTCCATCTGCAAGGCAGCTTATCCAAGGAATGACGGAATTGGATTTTACTTTGGAAAGAAACAATTTTGTTCTTATATAAGGACCATGTAAATCTTATATAATGCAAGTTGATTTTTAAAAAATCAAAAAGTTTGCTCTGTCAATTCTAAATATATTACTTATATCTTATAATTAACAAGAAGATTCATTTTGTCCTTGGATGGGCCGGGTGATGGACTAGCCTGACCCTGGATGAACATTTCATTTCCGATTGAGCCTTCCTGATCCACACTCGTCGGTCTATCCGGGCGCTTCTCATTCTGGCTGTCGATGCATTGAAGGACCTCCCGGAGACACGCTGCCTTGGAACAAGCTCCCAAGCTCGGCCTGCTGGTTCATCACTGACAACGAGCCCAGCGTGGAACAATTGATGCTGGTGCTCATCAAAATCACAAGAAGTATCCTTCCACGAGCCATTTTCCTCCACTCCAATAGCAAAACACTAGCTCTTCTCTTTGTCTGATGTTAGCCTTTGCAAGTTACCATGTAAGTTGATATAACAAAGATCCATAGGGAAGGACAAACCAATTATATAAGCATACGTTTGTCCATTTCATGTATAAAATTAGCAACAGGTGTAAACTTGCTAGTGATTTTCGCCAGCTCAGCTTTATAGGATATGCTGGTGTTGGCAATAGCTGCCCCGGTGACATGTTTTGTAGCGGGGCGAGCCTATGTTATGTAACCCGCAGTGGTGGCGATGGTGGCGTGCACGGCACGGCCTTGCTGTAGTGCTCCAAGGTTGAGGAGCATCTCTAATGTCATTGATTGAAAAAATTGGTGAGTGGCACAGCATCATACCAGCTGGGCGTGGAATGTTTCCTATGAGCTGCATATAAGCTTGTGTTGTGGTTCGGTCCCAAACTTTGGATGTATTGTATTCGCCTGAGGAAACGTTAGCATATACAACACTCTCCATCACTATGAAGCAAACATGTGCGCAATGCAAGAACCCGACCGTCACGGGTTGCTATAACGACTGCAACATATTGTGCAGGTGGTGTGTGCACCTGATATGGAGTATAATGTAATAATTACCAAGGAGAATTATGTGGTGTTTGAGTTTTGTTCATGAATAAATTACTCAAAACTCCAAGTTTCCCAAGGAGGACCCTTACAACCACGCCTGACTGGGCTATGACCAGTGTTTTTTTATCAGAATTTTGTACATAACTAAAACATTCTGAATATTATGCCTTGAATTTGCTTGAGAGCCTGAAGACGAATGCTGTCAGATTGGATTTGATTAATTTGACTTTATTCAATGATGGCTACAATGACATTAGAGATGGACAACATTCCAGTTGACTCTTTTTTACATTTCCTCCTAAGGCTTTAGTTCATTTAGGGAGTCGAAAATGTACTATTTAGCTTTTATAGCTACTTGAAGTTTTCGCAACGATCAAGCCATGTTTAAACACAATGATTTAATAATGCCCGCTACACATGGTATAATAGTATTGCCCCAGCCCAGGCTTGTAGGGTAACTTCTTAACACTAAAAATTGGGATGTTGCTCCTCCATTCATGACTCATTTCAAGTTGATTAGTCTGTTTCTGTTAACAAGTCTGCTGAGCAACAAGATGCTGATTTGTGATGAAGTCTCTCGTTTTTCAATCCCAAATGTCTGGGAAATTTGATTATCATAACTGTATGAACAAAGGTGAGTACATGCTTAATAGTGGAAGTTCCAGTGTTCCACTATTGAGCATGTACTATCACATTCAACACAGAATTTGTTTTTTCATATTGTCAGACTCACGTTGCAGTAATTTATTCCATCTCAACACGTTTGTTCTTATCGAGAACAGACTTAGTCTACTCTGAACGCACCGGCAGCCTTTCAGTCTGAATGTTTATCTTGTCCTCTGGCTTACAGTCCCTTGCTATAAATTGGTGAGTGTTGTTCCTCAATTCGCCAATCCTCATCTGCTCGTTCCAAGTTCATTAGTCTATTTCTCTTCAACAACAAGATGAAGCCTGTTGTGCTGGTTTGTCTCCTCATAATGGCTCTTGTTTTTCAGGGCTGCCACTTCAACGCTCTCGCTGAATCTTGTGATGATGACGACAAAGCCTGCACTGGCAAGATATATGGGAAACTTGGTGGTCATAACTGTCAGAGGAAAGGTGGGAAGCAGTATGGATACCAGGGCAATTGTCTGCGTATCAACAAGGCGATCGGACTTGAGGGAGGATGCTGCTACTTGAGCTGAATGATTCAGAATGACTTGAAAATGAATAACCATAAATAAAAGTTTGTTGGTTTTTGTCTTGAACACTTTCAATAACTGCCCTGCTCGCTGCGGCAATCTGGAGCGCATCACGGACCATCACTTGTGCTCTGGCACGTCTTCAGCTTTGTGGAACTTCCAGAGTTGTTCACAATGCGGGCTGTCTGCAAGTTTTGGTATGATGCTGTGCTCTCTCCTCGTTTCGCTCAGCTGTACAAGGCTACAAGCCACCGCTCGAACCCTGGGCCCTGCTCAGGCTGCGGACAGATCCGCCTATTGACCAGCTTCGTTTGCTTCTTAGTCTCTCATTGAAGCAAACTGAGCAAAGTCTCTGTAGATTCTCACAGTGTTACTAAGAAAGCTTCGCTATGACGAGGAGCTTTTTGACTATGGCATGAAGCTGGAGAATCACACCGAGCTATGGCGTCCACACCTGAGCTTGAATCAACGTCACAGATGCAGTCTTCCATTGGGCCCATGGATCAGGTTCGCGTTTCGTGGGCTTGTCTGCAGATCTGTGCAGGCTCTGTCCTCTTCATCACAGGCTGCAAGCTTGAGAATGTTGAAGTAGTCGCCTTCCAAAGCAAAAGTCATGTAGAAGCTAAGAGCTATCAAAAGGAAACAGACCAGAACAACCTTCACCTTCATCTTGTCGCTACAGAGCCGATCCAGAGCACTAAGAGAAACAGTAGCCTCCGATCCCAACTCACTGTCGCGGTGCCTTGCCCTTCCAACAAGCAAGCTCCACAGCCTTTCTACTGACGGCCAGCTCATACATTACCTCTTGTCTGCGCCCTTATCTGCATTATTTAAGCTTGTAGTGCGGTTCCAGCTGCACTACGTTTAAAGTCAAAAACCCTAATAGTGAGTAAATGGGGAGATGGGGCGCCTTTGAACAGGATGGGGGTCGCTGCGGCAATCTGGAGCGCATCACGGAGCCATCGCTTGTGCTCCACATCTTCAGCTTTCTGGGTCTTCCAGAGTTGTTCACATTGCGGGCTGTCTGCAAGTCCTGGTATGATGCTGTGCTCGCTCCTCGTTTCGTGCAGCTGTACAAGCCATCGCTCAAACCCTGGGCTGTGCTCAGAGTGCGGACGGATCCGCCTGTTGACCGGTAAGCTTGCTGCTTTCATCATGATCGTTGAAGCAAGTGGCTCTGTAGGGAGCTTCGCTATGACGAGGAGCATTTTGATTATGGCATGGAGCTGGAGAATCACACCGAGCTATGGCGTACACACCTGAGCTTGAACCAACGTAAGAGATGCAGTCTTCCATTGGGCCCATCAGGTTCGCGTTTCGTGGGCTTGTGTTCTTCCAATGGACTTGTCTGTGGCATGCTCATGGAACATAGAGACTCGGTGACTTTAGCTGTGGGAAACCCGATCACCAACATGTGGAAGGCACTACCGGCTGCTCCAATTGCCTCTCCGGATCGTCCACGCCCAGCCTACCTCAACATCTCCATGGAAGCAGAAATAAACGCAGACAGTAGCTCTTACCAGGTCGTGATACTGTACCAGAAGTACCAGACGCCTGTTGAAGGCCCGACAGAAGATGATGATGACGACCAAATTTGCTCACTGCAGTACGAATCAGAGTCGTGTTCTTGGCATGAAGGCCCGCTCTTCAGCACTTCAAACTCATTGGGATCACCTCTCCGAGGGTGTGCTTTCTTCTACACTGGGGAGAACATATTCCCAGCTTACGATCCGCATTCCAGAGCTTGGTCTCATGTAGCTATCTCGCCACCAGCACGGAACGAACAAGAACAAGAACAGGAAGACGATAGCTGGGCAAACTGGTCTTTTGGATACATAGGTGCCTTCATGTACAAGGGGAAATGCTACTGGGCATCGTTCATGTTCAATGCAGAGACATTTGAAGACATTGGAGTGGCGATCTGGGAGATGAAACAGGAAAACTCAACGTGGGTCTTGGTGTCGCGGATTCTGTCCACGGACCTGTTTGGACCCAATTGTTGTTTGTCAGTGGGGGACAAGGATATGACCGTGAGGCTGGTCGAGGACACCGCTTTCATCTCGGTTTTCTATAGGAAGGAAAGCCATGGGGTGTGGCCTCCTGTTGCGTACGACTTTGCTCTGTCCAAGTGGTATACTTGCTGCATGGAGAACATGGAGAACGAGGATATTGAGTGCAATTATGTGGTGATACCCAGCCTAACTGCCAAGCCTTAACAGGATCTCCATATGTAGGAAACGAGAAATTTTCAGATCATACTAGTGAATGGAATGTTTCCTGTTCTGGGTACAAATTCCTATGAGCTGCATATAAGCGTGGTTCGGTCCCAAACTTTGGATGTACTGTATTCGCCTGAGGAAACGTTAGCATATACAACACTCAAACGGTGATAACTTTCTCCATCACTATGAAGCAAACATGTGCGCAATGCAAGAACCCGACTGTCACGGGTTGCTATAACGACTGCAACATATTGTGCAGGTGGTGTGTGCACCTGATATGGAGTATAATGTAATAAATACCAAGAAGAATTATGTGGTGTTTGAGTTTTGTTCATGAATAAATTACTCAAAACTCCAAGCTTCCCAAGGAGGACCCTTACAACCACGCCTGACTGGGCTATGACCAGTGGTTTTTATCAGAATTTTGTACATAACTAAAACATTCTGAATATTATGCCTTGAATTTGCTTGAGAGCCGGAAGACGAATGCTGTCAGATTGGATTTGATTAATTTGACTTTATTCAATGATGGCTACAATGACATTAGAGATGGACAACATTCCAGTTGACTCTTTTTTACATTTCCTCCTAAGGCTTTAGTTCATTTAGGGAGTCGAAAATGTACTATTTAGCTTTTATAGCTACTTGAAGTTTTCCCAACGCATGATTTAATAATGCCCGCTACACATGGTATAATAGTATTGCCCCAGCCCAGGCTTGTAGGGTAACTTCTTAACACTAAAAATTGGGATGTTGCTCCTCCATTCATGACTCATTTCAAGTTGATTAGTCTGTTTCTGTTAACAAGTCTGCTGAGCAACAAGATGTCACTTACTTATTCTTGCACTGATTTGGAGTTAGTAGGCTTTGTTTTTTGCACTTTCTTGATTGAACCATGATTTCAGCCTTTAAACCTTGTAAGAACTTTGGTGCTTTTATTTCTACGCTTACAATGATATATATAGCACTATGAACAACTCTGGAAGACCCAGAAAGCTGAAGATGCGACGGATCCGTGATGCGCTCCATATGCGATCCTGTTCAAAGCCGCCCCATCTCCCCATTTTCTCGCTCAGGTGCACCTAGGGCAGTTATTGTTCAAGCCAAAAACCAGATTTATTTATGGTTATTAATTTTCAAGTCATTCCGACTCATTCAGCTCAAGTAGCAGCATCCTCCCTCATATCCGATCGCCTGGTTGATACGCAGACAATTGCCCTGGTATCCATACTGCTTCCCACCTTTCCTCTGACAGTTATGACCACTAAGTTTCCCATATATCTTGCCAGTGCAGACTTTGTCCCCAGGATTACAAGATTCAGAGAGAACGTTGAAGTGGAAGCCCTGAAAAACAAGAGCCATTATGAGGAGACAAACCAGCACAACAGGCTTCATCTTGTTGTTGAAGAGAAACATACTAATGAACTTGGAACGAGCAGATGAGGATTGGCGAATTGAGGAACAACACTCACAAATTTATACCAAGGGACTGTAAGCCAGAGGACAAGGAAAACGTACTGAAAGGCTGCCGGTGCGTTCAGAGTAGACTAAGTCTGTTCTCGATAAGAACAAACGTGTTGAGATGGAATAAATTACTGCAAAGTGAGTCTGACAATATGAAAAAACAAGTTCTGTGTTGAATGTGATAGTACATGCTCAATAGTGGAACACTGGAACTTCCACTATTGAGCATGTACTCACCTTTGTTCATACAATTATGATAATCAAATTTCCCAGACATTTGGGATTGAAAAACGAGAGACTTCATCACAAATCAGTGCCTGCATGCTAAGATTAAATCTAATATTGGCAATCCAGGTAGAATCTAGGCAACCTTGGGATGTTGAGGGGGGGTCTGATCTACCTCGATTGCCAAACCCTGAGCACAAGACAAGGAGCTGCTGCTGCCCCTAAAGGTTATGTGGTGGAAGAATGGCTGCAATTTGTTTGGGTGACCTATGGTTATCTTAGTGAATTTGGTTGATTAGGGTGCCCTATGGCTATCTAACCATATTCAACATCATTTTGAAGCTTTTAAGAGTTTGAGGAGCAACTTGATTCATGGATAGCAAAACCTTGCGTATCATCTAAGGATCACAAGGCAAATATTGCAAAAAGAGTTCCATATCAGCTGCATGGATGCTGCTCAACCTTGAATTTCGAACTTGCAACATTAAGGTGCCTAGGTTTGGTCAGATGCTTGCATATTCTGGATTGCCAATGTTGTGTTCAAAGCCGAATATCAAAAGAGGTCCTAAAGCTCACAAGAACATGCAATACCTGGAAAGTTCACGACAACAGCATTATAAACAACACTTTCAAGATTGAGCACTTTAAGGAGATTTAGTTCAGTCAACAGCTCCAATGGTAGCAATGGATCCACATTTGCTCACAATTCTTCTAAGATATTATGGCTACAAGGCAGAAAATCCCTGCCAGCATTTTACAAAGGTAAAAAGGTTGTTGAGAGGGTTTGGAGTGCTAAATTCAGCAATGCAGTCAAGGTATTTCCTCCTAACTTTGCATGATGAAGCTGATTCATGGTTTGCTATGATGAATATGGAATCACCTCCTCTACTCATGATGCTCAAGATCATGTTTTTGAAGTGGTTTGAACCTACAATAACAAAGGACATGGTAATGATAGAGTGAGACGCATTCAAACAAAGACCAAATGAATCTATCCAAGCCTATAATGAGAGAGTTTAGGTGTATGATGCACGGTGCCAAGAATATGGAGTTGATAACAACAGTCTATGAGTGGTGAAGTCTTATATAGACTTTTTGCATTCAAATTTAATAGGTGAATTTGGTACAAAGATCCATCAACATTGCAAGCAACAATGAAAGAAGCTATTGCGCAAGATAAAAAGCGATTGCAAGAACTAGGGCCTATTATCAACAATGTGTACCATGCTTAACTGCTTCCACAATCACCATGCTTTCTACCTTAAGAACAAAGGAGTCATCATCAGCAAGAGCAAGATATGCAAGGATCTCAAACTACCTTCAATGCAACATATCTATATCAAGATGTACCTACTAGACAGAGTCAGCAGTTTGGGCAGCAATAGGCATATTCATAATCAAATAATTATCCTTCATACAAACCTCCATATTCAAGCTCAAGTGGTTATTGTGCATCACAACAGCATTCAAGTGATTACAATTCATACCAACATCTTTTTTATGCATGTGATGAATACGATCATGATGATGAGCATTGTGCAATAAGGCAATGGATCTACATAAACATTGGTTATGATTAGTTAGCAAACACTTGGCTAACTTCATCAAAAGCACGAGGGGTCTTCACACAATTGTTTCTTGACAGTTGCCTTCTTAATCTTGCAATGGCTAGTGCTCCATTAATTACTTTATTGATTGCCTCAACCACTTCAGTTTTATTTGAATGTTATGGTTCCAACTAGTGCTTAAAGATTGAAAACTTAGATAAGTTCCTAGGTTATCCAAGCATACATGTTA